GTATATATTTATATATGTATACACACACATAAATATGTGATTATGTGTGCTGATCTGTGTAACAATATAAAAATTATATGGAATAACATCTTTTCTATTACCCAATTTCCCCACAACACCCCAGAAAAATCTCCACTTGCTGTTACCAGAGCTGTAGAGTCCCCTATTCCCCTCAGTGTGCGGGAACAGAAAGTCTTCGGGTAACCTGATCTTGGCCAGACAAGTCTGGACTTGCTAAGTTGAGAGAGACAGGTTTCTAGCCTGAAGATGTCAAATGAAACTCAGAGGAGAGTGTGTGAAACAGAGAATGCGGAAGCAATCTTTGTTAATTAGGTTTTGCTATGAACAGGGCTAGGAGAATCTGGGTAGTGTCTTTGTCCAGGCTCCCGGCCTGAGAGTTGGCTGGTCCTACTCAGCTGATACCTACTGGAACGCGTTACCCAAATTCTGATAGCTTGGCTTACACCTGTATTGACACATTAAAAACCCAGGGCTGAGTCCTATTCATCCCACAAGTTCCAGACATGCCTCATTCCAGCAAGAAGCCACTGGACTGTCAGCAGTGCAGAAAGAAACAGTGAGATAGCAGATGGAGTTTGTGCATCTGAGAGTAGTTTATCCAGAGTGTAATTACAACTGAGGTTGGGGGTGGGGGTGGGGAATCCCTCAAACTGGAGGGGGAAATAAGCCCTTGAAGGACTTGGGTGAGGAGAAGGACACTGTTAACCTCAAGCAGGATCTTTCTTTCTGAGGGGATTGAATAGCAGAAAACTTTTCCCAGAGCTGGGCCTCTTGGATACCCCTAAATTGGTAGCCAGCATACTGGCCACTGAATGAGGGTGCCTCAGTGACTTGGCCCAGTCCACTGTTCATCAGGAAGCTCGGACACTGTGTTTGAAAACGGCTTGTGAGGCAAAATCACTTGCCACCACAAAGGGACACAGAGCCATTGATATTCATGGGTAATAGTGGTGTGGGAGAGCCAGCCTGTACCCACAGAGTGCAGTCAACTGTTGAATTTTCAGGAATTTTGCAAGCCAGCTTTTAAACACAGTCATTAACAAAAATTAAATTATGGGAACACAGCTGAAAAGCAGTCAAAACTTACCACTTCCTAATTATTTTACTACATCTCCCTATTATCTCTGCTCTGGAGGTTATTTTCATCTATTGTATCTGAATGGTGGAGATATTTTATAACTGGAATCCAGTGAAATCTTATTCATATCTTGAAATCAGCCACAGTGTGACTGCTGAACCACAGAAATTAGCAAATGCTACAAGCTACTATCAAAAGCCCACTGTTAAACACCATCACTCTTCATCCTTCTCCCTTCAACCTATATAAACGTGTCTTCGCACACACACAATCAAAGAAACACCCCCTCCTCGTTTAAACACAAATGTAACACACTGTTCAAACGGTCTGCATCTTGATTTTTTGACTAAATAAATGAAGGGAGCTTTTTCTCTTTCTTTTTTAATGTCTGAAGCTTCATCCTCCAAACTGCTTTTCTTCCCTTAAGGACTGAACCACACCCAGAGCTCGGTCTGGAGTCACACATCACCCTTTGCCTCTTTTTTTTTCACCCCTTGCCTCTTATTCATTCCTTCCGTGACTTGCCCAGCCTTGTGCTAAACCCGGGACAAAGATATCAGTAAAGTCCCTTTCTGGGAAGGGTGAGAACCCATAGCCAAACTCCAATAACTAGAATACAAGGTGATCGGTTCAGTAAAGAGGTCAGGCCAGCTTGGATGTCACCTTCTTCCTGAATGTTCTTTTTTTAATTCTCAGACCTACCTCCTAAACCCTACCACATCCCTCCCTCTGACTGCTATTACCATTGAGCTGGGGACGGAACTCTTGAGTTCCATGCAATTTGCTGAAAACACTCCCCAGGCCACAGACTGCCCATGTGCACTCAATGCTGGGTTCCACGCACCCAGACAATGGCGGTGCAGGGAGGCTGTAACTCAGACAGCAGCTACTTGACCCCAGGGGAGGACACACTCCATGCTCCTCTATAATACTATAAGCTCATCGAGAGATGTCATTTAGATCAGACTGATTTTTGTGCCTGACTCAGTGCCTTGCCCTGCACTGAGTCTCCCCACCCAGCAACTTGCTTACTGGCCTGAGACCCAGTTTACATCAGTGATCAGTATCTGGCTCTGTTTTTGTTCACGCCTGGATTGCCAGGTATAATACCAAAACAGCTGGGCATTTCAAACAGGTGAAGGAGGGGAAGGTGAGAACACAGCCAGGCCTTGGCCCTTCCTGTTTGGAATCTGTTCCTTGGTAACTCCTTCTGCCCAGCTCCCTCCGGACGAGCCCCCACTCCCAGCTAGTACCTCCTCTTATCCCTCCCCATCCCCATCTTGCCGGCTCCAATCTCTTCAAAGCTCCCTTCCTGCTCTCCCTCCCCCCACCATGCACAGTCTCCTGAGGACTCTGTGACCTCTCTCTGCAGCCCTGTGCCGTCCCAGACAGAGATGGAGCCGTCTCACGTGTTTCCCCTGCCACCATTCGCTAATTCTGCAGATGCCTGATAGCCCTGTGCCAGGAGCTAACAGTCCCTGAGCACAGGGACCTCAGACAGCGACAAATAGAGGCCAGGAGGCAAACAGCAGGCTTTCCCGGCAGGAGGCAGGCAGGGTGTTACGGGGGCCCAGGGCCAGGGCACACACTGTGCATGCGTGAGCGCTTACCATGTCATATGTCTATTTGCATCTTCTTGTCTCCTCTACTACCCTATAATTTCACTGAGGTTGTTAAGGCCTTTCATGGATTACCTTACTAAATGTCAACCTGAGGCCCTATCGCCATTCCCACCTGTACCTATGGCCCCCCATAAAGGAAGCTAAACTGCTTCTCCAAGGTCGCCGATCTGAGACACGGAGGACGCAGCCGGTCTGCCTCTCTTGGCAGGACTGTTAACCACTGAGCCCCACGCTCCTCACACAGCCGTGGGGGCCCAGGGCTTAAACCCCAGCCAGGGTCACCTGCACACTGCACTGGCTTCCTGACCTCCAGCACTCCCTTCTGCTGCTCCTCCGTCTTCCAGGGAGTCTTCCACTTGTATGGAGTCTGGGATCGAGGCTCATCCTCGAAATCAAACCCACAAGGGCGAGAGTCCCCTTTTCCCTTCCTTAATTCAAGACTTAGGCTCAGTCAACTGAGCAGTAAAGCCTAGGGACTGGTCATCAAAGCAGCACATACAACTGTCGCGGCAGAAAATGTTTACCTTCGTCCCAGCACCTCAACAAATGTCCCTGCCTTCCCTTTACCTTCCCTCCAGTTTATCCTCTGCAGAAAAGCCACAGTGGTATTTTACATATGAAAGTATCTCATAGAATGGGCTGGTGGCGATAAAGAACCTACCAGCACATGAGATGTAAGAGACATTTACCACAGCTGTCACCAATGGCCTCTCTGGGCTCATACCTCCAGCCTCCCCTTGACATACTAGGCAAAATGGTCCTGGCCTGCGTTCCTGTCATGCAGCCATCAGGAAAGGCCTGTTTTCCTGTCATGTAACCCACCCTGGCTTTGGGCATCGTTAATTCTTCCCTCTGGAATGCTCTTTTATGGGGGATCGTGATAGACAAGAAAAGATAACACAAATCAGAGTCCAAGGTAACCTTCTTTCATTGTCCCATTAAACTTCATGCCATCGACCATGATATTTAATTTACCTCCCATAGCACTTATTACTGTTTAGGTTATTTATGTGTTTTGTTTCTTTTTGGCTATTCTGCATGGCATGCAGGATGTGGTTTTAGTTCCCAAACCAGGGATCACACATGTGCTTTCGAAAGTGGAAGCGTGGAGTTTTAATCACTGGACCATCAAGGAAGTTCCTCTTACTGTATCCTGTACTGCCCATGAAGATAAGAATGATAATGTTAATAATAAACTAAGCAAAACAGTAGATAATATTTTTGCAATGCTTCTGTACATCAGGCCCTGTATGAGTTGCTAGCTCTTTGCATGTAAACACAGTTTTTCTTACAAATAACCTATTACAGTAATAAACTTATCACTGTAATAAACTGCTATTACTGTCATAAACTGTTACAGTTTTTTATATGAAGATACTGAAGTCTGTGATGTTAAGCAACGTGCCATCCAGCCTGTTCCAGAGTTCAAGTCCTTAAATGGTTATTATTTATTACAGCACGCTTTCCACTGTAACTCATAAATGATTCCTAGGGGGAAAAAAAAGAAAAGAAACTGCCCAGCCATTCTGTGCTCCCCTGGTTCTTGATTTCCCAACCTGGTCATCCTACCACTTATGGCTATGGGAAAGTACCAACATCTTTCCTACAGATTCCCTCTTAACATAAGCTAGCCAGAATCCATTTCTCCTGTTTTCAACCAACAATCCTGGTCAACACATCCCAAAGGTTAACTCTGGGCTTTGCACACAGCAGAGGGACAGTACATTCTCAACATATAAATGAATCAGACTGTAACCTGGTGAGCCTAAAGGCTCTGATGGCCTGGGTGCGTGGAGGCTGTGCCGCCAACACGGCGCTGATGTCTCAGTCTTTTCCCTCCTTTCCTCTTTCTTTATTATGAAATGCTTGAGACATGTCAAGTGTCTTGGGGGGNTCCCTCCTTTCCTCTTTCTTTATTATGAAATGCTTGAGACATGTCAAGTGTCTTGGGGGGTTTTTTGGTTTGTGTGCATGTTATTGGCCTCACAACGTAGCTCATAGCCTCTTCATTCCCCAACCAGGGATCAAACCCAGGCCCCAGCAAGGAAAATGCCGAGTACTAACCACTAGACTGCTAGGGAAATTCCAAGTTTTGTAAATCTTCACTGAAGGACTATTTCCTCAGTTCTCTTTACTTGGTCTATTCTTAGTAGTTCTTTCCAGGGACCCTGCAAGAGTGGGAGTGCCTTTCTTCTCTCCCTGGCCCTACACCCTCAGGAGAGAGGGGGGAGAGCTTCCACACCACCTCAGGGCCCAAGAGCCCCCGTGGTCTGCATTACCTCCTCTGAAAGTGTTCAAATTCAGCTTGTCTCCTCATTTTCACCGCAGGGAGGTCAGTCTGGCCATAGGCATTCTCAAAGTTATAGCTTTCCTGATGTTTCCAGGCTTCGCATTTGCACTGGTTTTTCGGGAAGAGCCTAAAACAAGATGAGGACTAAGATCACAGACTGGGTGGGCTAGCGGGTGAGCCGGGCGCTTGAAGTCTAACCCAGTGTGCTGTTCCCCCCAGACTCTCCTTTCTCACAACCACCATCCAGGTTGGGTTGAGACTCTAGAATCCCAGCAGTAGCCATTACCAAAGACACAGCAAAGGGAAGGGATAAGAAGGTCCCTTCTCAAAACCAACTTATAGTGACCAGAGCAGACATGTGGCAGGAGGATGGATAGGAACTTGGGATTAACACACACACACTACTGTATATAAAACAGATAACCAACAGAGACCTACTGTATAGCATAGGGAAATCTACACTATATTCTGTAATAACCCACATGGGTAAAGAATCTGAAAAAGAATGAATATATGTACATGTATAATTGAATCACTTTGCTACACACCTGAAACTAACACATCATAGTCGGTCATTATACTCCAATAAATTGTTTTAAATAATAAAAAATAAATTTTGTAATAAAAAAAAAAAACCCTCTCTTGAATCATCTCCTGCACCAAACTTCTACTTAAGATCCCACAAGCCACATGGGATTCTGACCAGTTCTCTGACCAGGGATTGAACCCAGGCTCAGCAGTGAAAGCTCCAAGTCCTAACCACTAGGCAGGAAGGGAATTCCCTAAACTTATTTTTTTTTTTAATTTTCATTTATTTATTTTTGGTTGTTGCTGGGTCTTCACTGCTGTGCGGGCTTTCTCTAGTCGCGGTGCAGGGGCTCCTCACTGCGGTGGCTCCTCTTGTTGTGGAGCGCGGGCTCCAGGCACATGGGCTCGCTAGTTGTGGCTCACAGGCTCTAGAGCACTGGCTCAGTAATTGTGGCACAGGCTTAGTTGCTCAGCGGCATGTGGGATCTTCCTAGAACCAGGGATCAAACCCTTGTGTCCTGCATCGGCAAGCGGATTCTCTACCACTGAGCCACCAGGGAAGCCCTCTCCAAACTGCTTTTAACTTGAGAGTCGCAATGGCATCTCAGTCCCACCCATCTGAAGAGGAAGCCAAAGGGACAGAAAGGCTATGCCTTTCCTGTAGTTTGGGTTAAATGGGCCCTCCAAAATCACAAGGGACTTTGCCGGGTGTTGTAGGGAACAGTCTGTGCTCTGCAGACCAAGATCTTTTCTGGTCCTGTAGTTTGGAATCACATTCACAATCAGCACAGGTGCAGGAAGGTAGGAAACTGGCTGTAAGGTAGGCACGATAGGACACTGTCAGCCACAGGAGGAGAGGGGGAGAGGTCAGACCAAGGGAGAATAACTGGCTATCTCACCAGATTCCATCGTGGGTAAAGAGGCTCTCGACATGTTCCTCAGGGAGAAGCTTCAGCATTCCGGCAGCCAGACTAGGCTGAGGGAGTGGTGCCTTGCTGCTGCTGGATTCTGGATACAAGTACACACTTCTGAACATAAATAACACAATGCCCAGGGCCAAGAATAGGACCGACATCTTGAGGAGCCACAGACATCTAGAGCTGTTAGGATACAAAAGAGCAAATGCTGTGTAAATCTTTTTTCCTTGATTACATGAAACATAAAATGATCTGATTATATAATATAGATGGGAACGGTAACTGGAGGGAAAAGGTCAATTAAACCTATATCTTCTACTACTTACCAAGACTGATTTCTGATAAATAGAAGAGGAAAGAATCAAGTTGCAGCAGACACTCAGAAAAATCACCAATAAAAGAATGTGCCAGAGCCCAAGCGGGGGGAGGGGAAGAGTAAGGCTTGCAGTATTAATGTCAACATAGTTGAATTTGAGGCCAAAACAAAATTAAATGGGGCCAAAAAGATCACTTACTGTGATCACATGAGTGATCTACAAAACAGATATAGATCATGTAGTGGTCATGAGCTGTATCCACTAGATAATAGCATTATTTACGCAAAGAACAGCAGAATATGGGAGGAGAAAGATTACAAATCCAAAGGTGGTCATGGATTCTAACATTCTCATGTCTAACACTCTAGCATCTCATTCCCTACCAAATCAAGTCTTAGAAATATATAAAGCAAGAAAGCAACTAATTTTTTTTTAATTTATGTATTTTATTTATTTTGGGTTGCCACTAGGTCTTCATTGCTGCAGGAGGGCTTTCTCTAGTTGCAGCGAGTGAGGGTTACTCTTCATTGCAGCGCGTGAGTTTCTCATCAAGGTAGCTTCTCTTGTTTCAGGGCATGGGCTCTAGAGCTAGGGCTCAGTAGTTGCGGGTCCTGGACTCTACAGTACAGATGCAACAGTTATGGTGCACGGGCTTAGTCGCTCTGTGGCATGTGGAATCTTCCCGGACCAGAGATTTAAAACACATTCCCTGCATTGGCAGGCAGATTCCTATCCACTGTACCACCAGGAAAGTCTGCAGCTACATTTTAGATCTCATATTCTGTTAAAGAGCTTTTAGGACATTTACAAAAGTTGGCCACTTATTTGAATACAAAGAAAACCACAATAAAGTAGAAATCATTTAGATTATACACTCCACACACTGACAAGTGCAATCAAAATGTAACTGATAGGGGCTTCCCTGGTGGCTCAGTGGTAAAGACTCTGCCTGCCAACGCAGGAGACACAGGTTTGATCCCTGGTCAGGGAAGATCCCACATGCTGTGAAGCAATTAAGCCCGTGTACCACATCTAGTGAGTCTGGGCTCTATAGAGTCCAAAAGCCACAACTACTGAAGCCCGCGTGCCCTAGAGCCTGTGCTCTGCAATAAGAGAACCCACTACAGTGAGAAGCCCAAACACTGCAAGGAACGGTAGCCCCTGCTCACTGCAACTAGAGAAGAGCCTGTGCAGCCAAGAAGACTCAGCACAGCCAAATACAAATAAATAAATAAATAATTTAAATATAACCTATAATAATAGTAAGGCCCCTCTTCCACAACATGGAAAAAAATTTTTAAGCTTTCCAAAGCAACAGTTTGAGTCAAGGACAGCATCAGTACAAAAATATAAGGATAATGAAGATACTACATACAAAACTATGGAATACACTAAAATTATGCTGAGTGGAAATTCTGAATTTAAATACAAATCTCTGATCACAAGACATAAAATTAATAAATTAAACAATCAAATAAGTTTGAAAATGGATAACAAAATGAATCTAAGAAAAGTAGAAACAAGAACCTAATAACAATGCAAATGGAAGGTGGCAAATTAGAAAACATCTAAAATGGAATAATTATTAAACCCAAGCATGGAGGAGGCAACTTTTGAGATATCTGCCTACTTAATAACCTCCTTGCTCTAAGACTCTTTTCCTGCCTGACCCACAGAGATCACACCTATGAGCTAGCTGTATCACATGATTCTCCCCTGACCATTGACTGGTTGGACCAAAGGCAAATACCTCAGAGCTGGGCCAATCAGCCAGAATTTCTTTTCCAGGAATTGGTAAGCAGGTATCAGCTAAATCTGGCCCCCTGAACTGAGAATAGAGGAAAGGAGAGAAGGAAGAGAAGATAGAATAGGTAAGAGACACAAGGAGAAGCCTAGATCTTGAATACCTAGATGAAAGAGATGATCTAAACAGATCCATTAAAGTGGAAAAAAAAAACAAAACAAGGAAGTTGTCAAAGGCCTCAACAAAATCAGAAATCCATATTTCATAAGTAAGCAATTCCACGCCAATTTACAAAGGCCAGTTTTACAGTGATGCAAGTATAAGTACTGAAGAATAATGCTGTAAGTATGCTGAACAAATATTAGCAAACAGAGTATAATGGTATCCTAAATGAAAGATTCATCACTAATAAATGAAGCTCTCACAGTAGAGCAAGGATGATTCAGTCTTATAATGTGGCTAAACCACTCCAACTTCCTCCTAGGCCCACAGTCCTCTTTTTGTTTTTTTTAAAGAATAACAATGTCATAAGTTCATTACACAATTTTCAACCTAACAGAAGGAAACAAATCAGGAACAATAGGGGAATGTGGTCTTGGCCTTTTTGAGGGTTTGGTTCTTTTCCTTCTGCTAGCAGGAAATGAAACTGTGTGTCATTGAATAAAAACAAAACAAAAATGAGGAGAAAAAATTCTCTGGGTAAATGACTTTTATGGTATTCCATATAATTTTTTCCCCTTAAACTATTACCTGTTTCCCTTCCTGCAAGACTGAGCTTTAGCCTACTCACAAGAAGTGTGCCTAAGCCAGGGGAGTTTCCTATTAACTTTTCCCCGGCCTTCATCTGATATGAAAACTGGAAGAATGCCTTTTGCTGATGTGAATGGTTAATGGTCATGAGAACCGCACTCCCCCGCCTACACACACACAAAGGGAGTGAAAAACATCCATTTCCCATCCACATGGATGAGATTCTCCCTAGTAGTCAGATTTAATTTTCAGCTTTGGTCTCTTAAATCCCCTGTACCCTTTTCTGCAGCTTTGAATGCCTCTGGATCGTCTGCCAGCTCCTGCCCATGTGTAAGTCACCCACAGTAAACTTCATAATTGCTCTTCATGCAGTTGCCTGCTTTGGTTTTGGGTCTCAAAGTTCCTTCTCACTTAGGAAGATACTATTCAATATCTTCGCCTTCCAATAATTATAAAATTTATTAATAAATTTCACCAAGTGGAAATTCAGGTCAGGAGAACTCCCAATATGATTATATTGACAGATGATTTTAAAATCATTTAATAAAATTATCCATTCTCTTTTAAAATTTATTTACTTTTTCATTGAAGGATAATTGATTTACAGAATTTTGTTGGTTTCTGCCAAACATCAACATGAATCAGCCGTAGGTATACATATGTCCTCTCCCTCTTGAACTCCCTCCGTTCTTTTTCTAAAATTAATTTGTTTATTTTGCTGTACTGGGTCTCAGTTGCACACAGAATATTTAGTTGCAACATGCAAGCTTAGTTATAGCATGTGAACTCTTAGTTGCAGCATGTGGGATCTAGTTCCCTGACCAGGGCCCCCTGCTCTGCAAGCATGGAGTCACACCCTCTGGACAACCAGGGAAGACCCCCAACATCCATTCTTAATTTATTAAACATCCCTTATTTAAGAAAGGACCTAAAACAGTCTCCAAAGGCAACAGAAATAAAAACAGAAGTAAACAAATGGAACCTAATCAAACTTACAACCTTTTGCACAACAAAGGAAACCATAAACAAAACAGAAAGACAACCTACAGACTAGGAGAAAATATTTGCAAATGATGTGACCTACAAGGGCTTAATTTCCAAAATATAAAAACAGCTCATACAATTAAATAACAACAACAAAACCAAGACAACCAAAAAGCAAAACAAACAAAAAAGAACAATCAAAAAATGGGCAGAAGATCTAAACAGATGTTTCTCCAAAAGACATACAGATGGCCAAGAGGCACATGAAAAGATGCTCACCAATGCTAATTATTAGAGAAATGCAAGTCAAAACTGCAATGAGATAACACCTCACACCAGTCAGAGGGGCCATCACTAAAAAGTCTACAAATATGAATGTTGGAGAGGGTGTAGAGAAAAGGGAACCCTCCTACACTGTTGGTGGGAATGTAAATTGGTGCAGTTACTATAGAGAACAGTATGGAGGGTCCTTAAGAAACTAAAAATAGGGACTTCCCTAGTGGTCCGGTGGTTAAGAAACCACCTTCCAATGCAGCGGACTCAGTTTGATCCCTGGTCGGGGAATTAAGATCCCACATAGTGCTGGGCAACTAAGCCCATGCATGCACCACAACTCCTGAGCCTGCACGACACAACCAGAGAAAGCCCACATGCTGCAACAAAGACCCAGTACAGTCAAAAGAAAAAAAAGAGAAAGAAACTAAAAATATAGTTACCATATGATCCAGCAATCCCACTCCTGGGCATTTATCTACACAAAACTATAATTCAAAAATATATATGCACCCCTATGTTCACAGTAGCATTATTTACAATAGTCAAGACATGGAAGCAACCTAACTGTCCATGAATGGATAAAGGTCTGGTACACCTTTATACAATGGAATATTACTCAGCCATGAAAAGAAAATAATGCAATTTGCAGCAAATTGGATGGACCTAGAGATTATCATAGGGCTTCCCTGGTGGCTTAGAGGGTAAACGTCTCCCTGCAATGCAGGAGACCCGGGTTCGATCCCTGGGTCGGGAAGATCCCCTGAAGAAGGAAATGGCAACCCACTCCAGTACTCTTGCCTGGAAAATCCCATGGATGGAGGAGCCTCGTAGGCTACAGTCCATGGGGTCGCAAAGAGTCAGACATTACTGAGCAACAACACGTTATAGAGATTATCATACTAAGCAAAGTCAAAAAGAGAAAGACAAATACCATATTATATCACTTACATGTATAGTCTAAAATACAACACAAGTGAACATATCTACAAAACAGAAACAGGCACAGAGAACAGACGTGGTTGCCAAGCGAAGGAGGGTAAGGGAGGGAAGAACTGGGAGTCTGGGATTAACAGATATACACTATTAGAATGGATAAACAACAAGGTCCTACCCTACAACACTGGGAACTATAGCCCATATCTTGTGACAAACCATAGTGGAAAAAATATGAAAAAGTATACATAAAAATATGTATAACTGAATCACACTGCTGCACACTAGAAACTGACACATAGTAAATCAACCATGCTCCAATAAAAAAAAGGGAAGAACCTGGAAGAAATGATACCACACTAATAATTATGAGCACATGTAACATCTGGATCTTGGTTTACACACAGCATTCCCCTCTAAAGAAAATCAGAGTCCCTGGCAGAAATGGCTGATTCTGGCTTTGGGTAAGGAAAATTCAAAGCAAGTCCAGAATATCCTGTAATGCCAGAAGGGAAGGGGGCTACCTAAGAAGGCTACAGTTATATCCAAGAAAGAGGAGCCAGTTTAAAGGGTCTTCTACCAGCCATATTTGAGATAGTTGATACATTAACAAGAACAATGACTATAATTAACTATAACATATTAAATAAAATAAAACCCATAAAGTTAATGATACTCCAAAGGAAAAATGCAAGGGGTGATCAGGGTACTTAAAAAAAAAAAAACTTTTTAATTATAGAAAAAAAATCCCAAGTACATACAACAAATAAAAAAAGCAATAAAATGAATTTTATTATACCTATTACCTACTTTCTACTCCTGGACAAAACCTGTTTCTTCACCTATTCCCTCACTTCTCAAATCATTTTGAAGAAAATCTTGACATCATATCATTTCATCAGTAAATACTCTATTTTTGAAGGGTAATGTGGCAGTTTTGTACTCAGATGAACCAAGCTGGAATTCCCTTCCCTGTGTAATGCCAGGTTAGGGATGACCACAGAGAAATTTGCATGAGATTCAGAGGCAGTGCAGACGCTGGCAAGTTCCATCCACTTGGTCCTCTTTCCCTCAACTCTGTGTCCAGCCCTCCTTCCCAACAGCTGGCCCTGCTGACCAACTACCTCAAGTTCACTATAAGAACTTTTTCTGAGAACTCACAGCAGTGGTGACCATGAGGAACAAACGACCTTTCATATACTTCTCCAGCAAATCTCTTTGTGGTTGTACTCAAGAAAACAGATGTTTCTGAATTCTTCCCAGTTCCAGCTCATTCACCTATGATGATTGGTGACTTTTCTCTAATATTTTTTTTGGAACTCATCCCAAAACTGTGTTAATTCCTATAATAAAGTTCTTATTGTGCAATCCTCATTCAAGTTCTGCTTCTTTGCTTAAAGCTTGGGGGATTCAGATAAAGGTTCTTACACACAACACAGCCACCATTATCAGCTAAAAACCTAACAATCAGTCTTTATTACCATCAAATGTGCCCAGAGTTCCCTTCTTTTTTCTTTTTTTGTACAGACGGAAATAAGTAGGAAAGAGAAAAACAAACATCATATATTAAGGCATATATATGGAACCTAGAAAAATGGTACTGATGAACTTATTTGAAGGGCAGGAAGAGACTCATACATAGAAAACAGACTTGTGGATACAGAGCGGAAGAGGGTGGGATAAACTGAGACAGTAGCATTTGACATATAGAGACAACCATGCATAAAATAAATAGCTAAAAAATAAAAAAATAGCTAGTGGGAAGCTGCTATATAGCACAGGGAGTTCAGCTTGGTGCTCTGTGACAACCTAGAGGGGTGGAGTGGGGTGTGGTGGGGTGGGAGGCAGGCTGAAGAAGGGGGGATACATGTATACATGGAGCTGATTCACGTTGCTGTACACAGAAACTGACACGATACTGTAAATCAATTATACTCCAATTAAAAATAGAATCAAAGCAGAATCTAAATAAGATCCATACATTGGTTGATATGTTTCATCAGTTCCTTTTAATATATAGATTCCTCTGGCTCTTCTCCGCCATCCTATGTGCGGTTGAGGTCTGTCCTCACCATGTCTTCTCACAAGACTTTCAGGATCAAGCGATTCCTGGCCAAGAAGCAAAAGCAGAATCGTCCCATTCCTCAATGGATTCGAATGAAAACTGGCAATAAAGTTAGGTACAACTCCAAGAGAAGACATTGGAGAAGAACCAAGTTGGGTCTATAAGAAGCCTCACATAAAAAGTGGCACACGTGTTAAGACCACTTATTTAAGCAGCCGTATCACAGTGAGAACATCACTACTGTAATGCTTGGCTCCTGATGTTTCTTATTTTCTCATTATCAGTCGAAACCAGTAATAAATATGTAACGTTGGAACTGTTATTGTATTAGATGGTTTGTGATGACGTACTGAATAAATACTCCTGTCAGGACACAGGGCTGTCCAATGAGAGAAATGTTCTCTAGCTACCGAGTACTTAGAAGTACTAGTAAGTACTAGAAGCTAGTAAATTAGGAACTGGCTTTTTTAAAGTTTTGTTGCCTTATTGTTCCCTATAAGTAGCAGCTCTTAAACCTACTGTTACAGGAAGTACACATATGTGTCATCCTTGTACCTGAACGCAGCACCTTTTTAAAATAAACTGTTGGGGGGGGGATGCCTTGCCACAAGACATGCAGGATCTTAGTTCCCCAACCAGGGATTGAACCCACTTGGCTGCCAGGAAAGTCCCATAAAAAGCATGTTTATATGCTATTCTATGATGTGAACCAGGGTTTGGCAAACTGGGCTCCTACCTGTTTTTGCATGGTCTGTGAACTAAAGTTATGCATCTTTAAATGGTTGAAAAAATCAAATATTTTTGACATTTAATAAATTCAAGTTTACCTACAAAAAAAAAAAAAAAAGATTCCTCTGTATATCTTTCTAGCAACTTACTTGTTTAAGGAACCATGTTGTTTATCCTACATTATTTGGATTTTCCACATCTGGACTGTGCTGATTTCAGGGCCCCCCCAGCCCCTGGCTAAGTTCCCTTGTTCCCTGAAATTTCTATAAATTTGTAGTTAGATCAAGAGGCTTGATCAGATCCAGGTTTGATTTCTGAGAAAATCCCTTCATAGGTGATGGTGTGTGCCCCTCCATCAGAGAGGCTAGGCACAGCATCTCTCTTTTGCGGAATATTAGCAGGCATTTGATGACTGTCCAGATCACTGGTTCTGAGTATTCTGGGGCTCAGGATCTCTATTCTTTAAAAAAATTGTTTTTGATGTGGACCATTTTTAAAGTTTTTATTGAATTTGTTACAATATTTCTTCTGCTTTATGTTTTGGGTTTTTAAGCCCTGAAGCATGTGGGATCTTAAAGCCTCCACCAGGGATCACACGCCCTGCACTGAAAGGCGAAATCTTAACCACTGGACAGTCAGGGAAGTCCTTGGACCTCTTTATAATCTTAAAAATTACTGAGGACTCCCAAAGGGCTTTTGTTTTTGTGGGTTATATCTGTCAATATTTACATTTTGGAAATTAAAATTGAGGAGTTTTTAAAAGTATGTATTACTTTAGAAATAACATAATAAGCCCATTAAAAGCTAACACAAATAACACATGTTTTTATGAAAAATAATTACATTTTTCCAAACAAAAAGTAGTGAGAAAATGGCATCATTTTACATTTTTGCCTATCTCTGTAATATTTAGTTTAATAGATAAAAATGAATCCTTATATTGTTTCTGCATTCTATCTGTTACGTTTGGTTGAAACATGTGAGGAAAACATAGCCCCACACAGATATACAAGTGGAACAAAGATAATTATGGATATTCATCTTTGATACCATGCCAAAAATCAAGAAGTCGTAGTTAAAAGGTTAGCAGCAACGTGGAATCTGAAATCATACCAATGAACTTTTTTCATTGGTATGATTTGGACTTTGAATGGATCTTTTACCTACACTCAATTTTATAACACCATGCATCATTCATATGGAAAATATTGGTTCACTGAGCTATGCTGATCCCCCAAATGCATTTTTAATGCAATACAGAGAATTAATTCATTAATATCGACACCAGTCTCATCAGAAAAGTCTCTAAATAATAAGACTCTCAAACTCATTGCAGTAGAAATAAATTTTGCAAAGTTCTAATTTTTTGGAAAGCTTGAATTTTATGACTGGTAACAAATACTACCAGTTGTTTTCTTCAAAAGGACAAGACCACTTGGTTCATTTTTTAAAAAAGATATCTACCAAAAACAGAAGTCTGAATAACCAGCTTATTCTTCATTTTTATTCATTCTTTAGACAAAAAATATTTCAATTAAAAAGCAGCTAGTTCAACTTGATAACATAAATCAAAGCAAGATCCTCTATGATCTACCTCCTAGAGTAATGGAAGGAAGTAAAACCAAAAATAAACAAGTGGGACCTAATTAAACTTAAAAGCTTTTGCACAGCAAAGGAAACTATAAACAAGGTGAAGACAACTCTCAGAATGGGAGAAAATAACAGCAAATGAAACAACTGACAAGGGATTAATTTTCAAAATATACAAGCAGCCCATACAAGTCAATACCAGAAAAACAAACAACCCAATCAAAAAGTGGGAAAAAGACGAAACAGACATTTCTCCAAAGACATAGAGATGGCTAACAAACACATGAAAAGATGCTCAACGTTGCTCTTTATTAGAGAAATGCAAATCAAAACTACAATGAGATATCACCTCACATCAGTCAGAACGGTTATAATCAAAAAGTCTACAAATAATAAAAGAGGGAGAGGATGTGGAGAAAAGGGAATTCTCTTGCACTGTTGGTGGGAATGTAAACTGATACAGCCACCATGGAAGACGGTGTGGAGGTTACTTTAAAAATCTAGGAATAAAACCATTTGACCCAGCAATCCCACTACCACTAGGCATATACCCTGAGGAAACCAAAACTGAAAAAGACAATGTACCCCAATGTTCATTGCAAAGTTATTTACAACAGTTAGAACATGGAAGCAACCTAGATGTCCATCAACAGATGAATGGATAAAGAAGCTATGGTACATATATGCAATGGAATATTCCTCAGCCATAAAAAGGAATGCATTAGAGTCAGTTCTAATGAGGTGGATGAACCTAGAGCCTATTTATACAGAGTGAAGTACGTCAGAAAGAGAAAGATAAATATTGTATACTAATACATATATGTGGAATCTAGAAAAATGGTACTGATGAATTTATTAGAAGGGCAGCAATGGAGAAAGAGAGAACAGACTTATGGACACGGCAGGGATGGGGAGGAGGGAGTGGGTGAGATATATAGAGAGTGTAACATGGAAACTGACATTACCATATGTAAAACAGATAAGCAATGGGAATTTGCTATATGATTCGGAACTCAAACAGGGGCTCTGTAACAACTTAAGAGGGTGGGATGGGGAGGGAAGCTCAATAGGGAGGGGACATATATATACCTGTAGCTGATTCATACTGATATTTGGCAGAAAACAACAAAATTCTGTAAAGCAATTATCCTTCAATTAAAAAATAAATTTTTAAAAAGCAGTTATAAGAAAAAAAGCAGTTAGTTCAGCTTCCTGCTCAAATTGCACAAGCACTTTTTCTTGAGGCAATAACTGCACTTCAGTCTGTAGTAGGAATGTTTTACTGTTCATCAAAAGATATATTTTAAATTGTTTGTTTTTCCTTCATGCCACATGTTTTTTCTTCATTCTCCCACCAGGGATTGAACCCTCGCCCCCTGCAATGGAACTACAAAGGCTTAACCACTGGACTTCCAGGGAAGTCCAAAATTGGTATTAAAAAAAAAAAAATCAATCGATTTAATCATTTCATCAAGGATATTCTGAAGTTTCCCCTGAGTGTGCTGGGAAGAATGCAACTCCCACCAGTTCAAGTGAAGGTACCAGCAGCAGTTTTCCAACACTGTCCCTGCATCATCAGTGTCAAAGTCAGCATAGTGAAAAAGGCAACTAGCATCTTAATACTATCGTGAAATAGTTCTGACCTTACAGACTCCCTGAGGAGGTCACTGGGGCCCTCAGGAGTCTATGGCCCACAACTGAAGAAGCCCTGCTCTAGCCTTTTCTTCTACAGGGATGTCAGGGCTTTCTCTCCCTGCTTTTAGAAGCTCTTGATGTTCCTGTAACACAGCAGGAAGAGCACAGCCCTTAGCGGGCAGCCATTGCTGTGCCTTATTAGCCTGCCCCCTGTTGCTAGGCATCAGGGCTTGCTGGGCCACTGCTCCGTGCCTCAGTGGGCCCTGCCCACAAGCAACCAACCATCAGTGAGAGACCATTAGCTGTCTTGCTCAGCTCTTGGTCAGGGCCGCAGTGTGCCCTGCCCGCTGGTACCTGTCAATGGGGGACCACTGGGGCGGTGACTGAGTCAACAGGCGGTGGTGTGGCGGCCATCCAGCGGAGAGTGACATAAGAGGCAGATTCAGGCCTTCTCCTGGAGGCCCTCCAGCTTACCCAGACTTGGGCCAGAAGGTGAGCTGGACAGCCCAGGGAACAGACTGGGGACTACGTCCTGTAGGGCTCCAGAGCTCTCGCTAAGGCCCCTTCCACTAGCCGTGGCTCAGCCCTTGAGGCAGCAGTGAACCTCCCCCTCATCTCTGTCTCTGCAACCTAACAGCAGTGGCCATCTGTGTGAGCTGCAGTCTGAGAGACCTGGTCTCCCCATCTGGGTGGCCTGAGCAAACGGACGGCCAGTTGGGTTGGATGCCTGGCTCCCTCAGGGATGACAGCTGGGCAGGATGTGGGAACCTGGCCCTCAAAGAGCTGCCAGCTGAGATCTGCCTCCTCTTGGCCAGGACTGGGGCTTTGGGGTGAAAGTTGTGCCTTGGGACTTTGCCCTTTCTTGTCAGGGTAGAGAATAACATTTATCTGGTAGAGATTTACAGGAACATGGCTATCTGACCATGACCAGACCTCAAGAAGAAAGGATCGAACACGAAGTCTGCAACAACTAACCATGCCCATCCTTCACCTTTTGCTTTTAAAGGGATTTGCTGAAAACTTTCAGTAACTTTGGAGTTCTTAGGGCATCAGCCACTCATCTCCTTGTATGAATCTGTAACAAACCTTTCTCTATTCCAAACTCTAATGTTGAATATTGATGGGCCTCACTGTGCATCAGGCACATGGACTTGCAATTTCAGTAACAATAGCTTTGACTATATGGACCTTTGTCGGTAAAGTGATGTCTCTGCTGTCTTTTTTAAAACGCTGTCTAGGTTGGTCACAGCTTTTCTTCCAATGAGCAAGTGTCTTTTAGATTCATGACTGCAGTCACAGTCCGAAGTGATTCTGGAGCCCAAGAAAATAAAATCTCTCACTGCTTCCACTTTTCCCCCCATCTATTTGCATGAAGTGATAGGACCAGGTGCCATGATATTAGTTTTCTGAATGTTGAATTTTAAGCCAACTTTTTCACTTTTCTCTTTCACCCTCATCAAGGGGCTCTTTAGTTCCTCTTCACTTTCTGCTGTTGAGTGGTATCATCTGCATATCTGACATATCTGATATTTCCCCCAGCAATCTTGATTCTAGTTTGTGCTTCACCCAGCCCAGCATTCTGCATGATATACTCTACGTATAAGTTAAATAAGCAGAGTGACAATATACTGTCTTGATGTACTCTTTTCCCAATTTTGAACCAGTCCACTCTTCCATGGATGGTTCTAACTGTTGCTTCTTGAGCAGCACACAGGTTTCTCAGGAGGCAGGTAATGTGGCCTGGTATTCCCATCTCTTTAAGAACTTTTCACAGTTTGTTGTGATTCACACAGTCAAAGGATTTAGGGTAGTCAATAAAGCAGAAGTATATATATTTTTTTGAATGCCCCTTTTTTCTATGATCCAACAGATGTTTG